AATTTTTATGGCAAAGTTTTGCAATTTTTATGGCAAAGTTTTGCAGCATTAATTTCCTAAGTTTACTATAACAGGAAGTTACTGCAACAGTCTCTAAATACTGGAGTTTTGCAGTAAAATTCTAACCTCATGACAGCAGACGATCACTGCAATTGCAGTTTCGTAGCAAAGTCCGGATTTGTCTCACTGCAAAGATCCTCAATATTCATTTGAGGATCAGATTTGCAGATTTGTCTCCATAGCAACCAGTCGCTTCAAAACGTTAAATTCTCACGTTTTGTAGCGACTGTCTTTTATACTTTATGATAAAAAAGAATCACTGCAAACGGAGCCCAAAATCATTCGAGATGTTTTGCAGCGAAGTTCTAATCGTATCGTGATAGTTTATGGTAACAAATGAAGTGTCCGTGAACCTTATTTGCACCCAAAGTCTAATTTTATGGTCACATGACAATCTTTGCAAAACGATCACAATTATCAGTTGTAAAGTTTTGCAGCGAAGGTCCATTTTTATGGTTGATATCGAAGATGTTTGCGAGAGAAGAAGACAGACAGCTTAACTGGAAATGACTTTGAAAGTAAATTGGAGCAGAAAGAGAGTGTTTGCGTAAACTTACGATTTAGATCTGTTAAAACGACGATAGGCGCACTAATATTCCCATCTCCTTTAACAGTAGACGCAAACACTGTGATGCTGTAGGTGGTGTTTGGATTGAGTCCTGTCAGTCTTGCTTCAGTTGTTGGAGAATTCACTACCCTTGTCCGTGGGCTGCCGTCAGGAAGCTCTTGATAGGTAACTGTGTACCTCAGTATAATGCCATTTTGATCAGGGAAAGGAACACTTCCCCATTGCACCAAAATATTAGTAGCATTTAAAACGTATCCTTTTATACTACTCGGAGGAGCGTTTGGTACTGTAAATTAAACAAAGAAATCAGGAACACCTTAGTTTGCTCTGCGCGATGCTCCGTTATGCGTTACCCAAACATACTTCGTTCTAGACATCTGCAGTCTCCCTTTCGCAGATTTATATGTGTAACTCACAAGTTTTCATTCCGAACTGCATTTGGTAAAAGAAGGGAACAAAACACAAAAACAACAACAAACGCTGCTCGATAGTTATCGTTATGAACGTACAACTACCATCATTCTCACCGCGTTGAGAGGGGGAAAAAGAACAAAAAATGTACTACCGCTTCTTCTTAGGCTATTGTAAGACAATTTAGTTATCTATTCATCTTAGAAATGTTGGTTCTGACAAATTGTCCGTTCCTCCACACCTTCATATAAGCCAGGGTAAAATTTGATTTAATTAGTTTTTTGCCGTTTTCGTTGCTGTCCCGGCATTACACGATTTTATAGTTTGTTTAACTTGACTATCAATATTAACTTTTTTAAGCTTCTTTTTTAGCCCTGTTTTAATCTATATATTACTAACTCAAATAATTAGGAAATGAATTCGTTACTTTGCGTTTGCAGATTTCTTTTTCTTTCACAGCAGAACAGCTCCTTCAATGATCCATATTTTAGGTATTTATCATATGCAGCATGAACTCACGATCCTTCTTTTCAATGGTTTAAGTTAGTGATCAGGCCCCAGTTGTTAAAATGGTGGATAGCGCTATCCACCGGATAAATCTCTATCCAGTGAATAGTCAATTGGTTTTCCTAATACTTATCCACTAAGAGAGATTTATCCGATGGATAGCGCTATCCAGCTTTTGAACGATTCGGGCCAGGCGAGCATGATTTCGCATATCCCGCACTCTACCAAATGTGCATCTGAGCGGCCTTTAATACATAGTAAGTAAACTGAAAACTACTGTTCTTTATAGACTGTATTTCGTCTCTATTAGAAGTAAGCGTTAGTAGAAAAATACTTTTCAATGTAACTTACTGTCCTCTTCGGTGGTAAAACCGACAGGTACACTAAAAGGTCCACTTCCCTTTATAGTCGAGGCAGCTACTGTGATGCTGTATGTTGTGTATTCATTAAGCCCTGTCAATGTGGTGTTCATGATTGGAGCACTCACTACCTTGGTGCGCGAACTTTCAAGAGGTAACGCCTTGTAGGAAACGGTATAAGACAGTATCCGACCATTTTGATAAGCTGACGGGACTCTTTCCCACTGGACAAAAATACTGGTTGAACTTGTGCTGTTTCCCTGAATAGCAGACGGAGGAGCTTGGGGTGCTGGAAAAAAAGGGAAATTACGAAACTTGCATGAACAACCACCTCATTGTACATGCACTTTAGTGATAATATTATTAGCAATGTAAATGAGCCATTTGCTCTGGCCTTTTATTCTCCCTTTTTTCTTAACTGTTTCTACAGATCTGCCGAAATGTAATACTTTGGAACCTTTTCAGTAATTTTTATGCTGAGGCTAGTTGTTCGCTTTTTCGACTGAATCATTTGATCGGTTACACAAGTGTCATTTAAATTACAACATGTAACCACCAGAGTGAATATTGTACAATCCAGTCAATGGCTTAAGGTCACGACTCATGGTAAGATGGTAAGATCAAATACAGCCTCTGTATTTGCACTGAAAGTACCGAGTTTTCGTCATTGATTCTTGTTATATGGTTAAAGACACTACGCTTGTGAAGGTAATATGAGTGGTGGAAAAATTTCTGTTCCTTTTCTCTGGTATTTGGGAGCCTAAATCGAATTTGATATCACGTTAAACACATGAAAAACCAACAACAAAACATACTGCCCTCGTCCGTGATGACAATGATAGCTGCACTTAAAACACATTTGTAGTACAACTCTTAAACCTACATATTTTTAAAAAAATGACAACTACCTGATTAAATTTGAGGTGTATCAAATTATTCCTCAAAGTCCCATTTACCTAATCCCAGTTGAACACTCAAAAAGCTTAAAATACATTTCTAGTGCAAATTCTATTTGCACAAATACTAAAAACAATAACAACTACCTAATTGAATGATCTCTACTTGATTATTCCCGCCTCAAAATCCTACATGTATGTACAAATCATGTGGAAAGTTGATAAATAATTATCTTAGAAAATAGCTAGAGATCTAGAGCGCCTTCTAAATGAATGTCTACCATTCTAAACTATTTACACAAGAAATGTTTATTGGAACAGAAAACTTGCCTCATGATTTGGAGGCAGCCATTCACCATGCGTAATAACGTTATATTTTGGATGTTAAAAGGTAACCACATCTAAGGATTTGATAACTTAAGAAACCTTTCTTGGAGTTTTATTTACCAATTAATAGTACTTGACATGAAATTTTCTCCGGATCCAATTCCTCTGCGAAACTAAAACTGCGCAAAAATTTTGTATTGCAAGCGTAGGTACCTTCTTCATCTGTGGTTGTTATGACTACTGAGCTAGCAGCACTGGAACCAACTTTGTTAGTTGCAAACATCCTAATATAATACGTCCTTGCAGGATGGAGGCCTACAAGAGAAGCACTTGCGAAGGAGCTTGATACCACACAGCCACTACTTGACAACCCTTGACATCTAGCATTTGAAAATATATGATTATCTCTACTAATCTGAATAGCGTAGTAAAGAATATCACTGTTGCCATTGAAGCCAGGTGTCCAGATGATATTCACCACTCGTGAGGTCATAGATGTGACTCTCAATTTCTCTGGTGGGCTGGGCACCACTACATAAAGCAAAATAGAAATGAATGTATTAGCTCTAGAAAACAACAACAACAAAGGTTTTGAAAATAACAATACTTTTGCATGGACTTATCATGAGATGAATTGACTGGGATATTTTGAAGATTGTGGCATGGGAGATATTGATCCCAGTGCTTACAACGGTACTTGGTAAGGCAATAATTTATCAGTAGAAGAAATTATCATGACAAAAAAAAATTGTTACTGTAACAACCCGGTATTAATGAGTCAAATTAAGTGTCAAATATTATTACTTACTCTTACTTTCTTCATCTGTGACGACAATTATAGGTGAACTAACATTTCCATCCCCTTTAGCAGTAGAAGCAAACACTGTGATGCTGTAGTTAGTGTATTCATGGAGCCCTGTCAGTGTTGCTTGCATTGTGGCAGTAACCACTACCTCGGTTTGTGGACTACCATCAGAAAGAGTTGTGTAGTTAACTGTGTAACTCAATATAATTCCATTTTGATCAAATACGGGAACATCTCCCCACTGAACCAAAATACTGGTAGAACTCGTACTATATCCTCGGACATTAGATGGAGGAGCGTTTGGTCCTAAGAAGCAAGATTAGATAGATGAATTTAAAAACATATAATTGAACAATAGAAAACTGATTGAACACACTTTTTTGATCGATATAGAGAGGAATAAAAGCTTGGAATTGAATAATCAACGAAAACTTACTATCTTCATCTGTGACGACTATTATAGGTGTACTAACATTTCCATCTCCTTTAGCAGTAGAGGCAAACACTGTGATGCTGTAGTTAGTGTATTCATTGAGCCCTGTCAGTATTGATTGCCTTGTTGCAGCATTCACTACCTCGGTTTGTAGACTGCCAAAAGGAAGTGCTATGTAGATAACTGTGTAACTCAGTATGATTCCATTTTGATCTGCTGCGGGAACATCACCCCATTGAACCACAATACTGGTAGAACTCGTGTTATATCCTCGGACATTAGATGGAGGAGCGTTTGGTCCTGAAAAGCAAAATTAGACGAATGACTTAAAAAAAACGTGTAGTTGCACAATGGAAAATCGATTGAACACACGTTAAGGCAGTTTTTGATTGATATAGAGATGAACAAGAGCTTGGAATTGATCAACGAGAACTTAGTATCTTAACACAACGATCAACATATTGAGTGGGCTAGTTTAACGATCGAAATGGCATGATACACTGTTCAACAATTTCTAAAGAAGAGCAGCAGTATTTGTAGCTGAAGAATTATTGAAACACGTGTCAATGGTTTTTCTTTGCGCACTACCAAATTTTCATGGAATTTACACATGGAAAAATTTAATACTTAAACTTCACTTACTATCTTCATCTGTCCTAACAATAATAATAGAAGGCGGTCCATCTCCTTTCACTGTGAAAGCAACCAATGAAATATTGTATTTAACAAACTCCTTGAGTCCTGTTAGGTTGGCCTGACGATCATTGCGACCAGCTTCTAGAAATCCATTGTCATTCTCTGTCTGTGACTGGTACGTTATATTGTAACCCGTGACAACACCATTCTGTAACTCTGATTGTACTGCTTCCCAAGATACTGAAATGATGGTGGAACTGGTGTTTTGTGCTGTCACATTTTGAGGTGCACCATTTGGCTCTGATAAAGAAGTTCAAACCTGGTATTTTTTCTCTCAATGATGAAGAGTTAAAGGAACAGTGTCAAGATTGTGCGCACGCGCGAGCGTCATCTTTTTTTTTCTTCAAAAGACAATAGAACTGTCATATTGACGCGACAAGATTTCCTTCCGGACCTCACCGCCGACGGAGATTTGTTGTTTGCAATCTCTTGTTCGAAGACGTTTTTCGTCTTATTTAAAATTTGGCTCGCGGCACGAAGACTCATCGCGATTTTGTCGCTAGCAGGCTCGCCTCGCGACCCGAAAATCTCGTTCCGCTCGCTTTAAAAGCTTTTCTAATGTGAAACTCGTGTCAGAGGTCAATTGTTCCAAGTCCACTGATATTTGCCTGATTTGCTCGCTTTCTAGCCTCAAACGTTTGAAAGATATAAGTAAAAACGCAATCTCAACGCGATGAATTATCGCAAAGGTTAGTCAAAACTGTGTATTATGATTTCATTGCACTAGTTTTTCTAAACATGTGGCCCCTGTTTGTTGATTTTGTCGGCCGTAGGGAGGTTCAATTAAAAGTTTACTAACGCGTCGTTACAAAACAGTCTGCTTCACGAAGCTTTATTCCATAAGATCTCCTCAGACACATCCACGTCTCAATGGTTTCTTTCTTACAGTCTCTATTGTTGCTGTTTCATTTGTGCGTATTCCTTTCACAATTATCTGAGCTTGTATGGAAGCTGGCAGAAGACATAAGCCTTCAATCGGCCTAAAAGCGCTTCCCATCTCCAACGGCAATAAAAGTAACGCCAAAAAAATCTTGATTTCGGCCAAATCGAAACTCAATTCAACGGGAACAATATATCATTGATCTGTAATCCTGAGAAGTTTTAGTGTAGTATCGAACTCGGCCAAGCGCGATGCAAACGGATTTTTCTAGGTTCTTTTACTTTCCTCGCGTATTTTGATTTCGGGACATCCTGTCCAAAAATCAAAGTTGGTGCATGCGCAGTAACGGGATGCTGTTCCTTTAAGCTTAGTACTTACTGCAGCTGATTGTAATGCTCCAGTAGTCAATCGTCGTGTGCGCGATTGTCATCACAAAAAGCCTTTAAACTAACAAAGAGCTTCACTGGAGCAGTTAAAAAAGGCTGCGTAACGCTCTGTCGATGAAACTTCGTAAGGGAAAAGCCAGTTTTATTATTCAAATCAGCTATGTGAAAAACAGGCCTCGCGTAAATTGTGGAAAACTCTGAACGAGCTCTTACCAAACAAGAAGCAACGCAAAACTGGGAATGCCCCAGCCTCTGAAAATTTAACGGCTACTAGCTTTAATGAGTTTTTCACGTCTGCTGCTGATCGAGAAACTATGTGGTCATGAAAAAAGTAAGACCAGGCTGCCTAATATTTTAACTCCTAGAGTTGTGCAAAACTTTGTTATTCAAAAGGTGCCAACTAACTTTGTTTTGAAGGAGCTGTATAGACTCAAGGTGACTAAAGCCTCGGGTCCTTATGCTATCACTCCGAGACTTTTGAAGGATGCAGCTCCAGTTTAATATAGCTAAGCCGATCACGTATCTGGTTAACCTTGGTGTTTTAACAGGACTTATTCTATCTGAGTGGAAAGATGCAAGAGTAACACCTATTATTAAATCAGGAGCAAGGAACGATGTGAATGATTACCGACCAATCTCAGTTCTCCCCCTGGTGTCAAAGATCATGGAGCGCGCTATTCAAGTACAATTCTTGGCTTTTTGAACAGAACATGACTTATTGTCAGACTACCAATCGGGTTTTCGAAAGAAGCACTCTACGGAAACTGCGGTAGTTTACCTCACTGATTATATTGTGGAAAATATGGATAGGCAAATGATTACAGGAGCTGTGTTTATTGACTTGAAAAAAGCTTTCAACTTCGTCGACCATGAATGTCTACTTTTTAAGCTAGAACACTATGACGTCAGAGGAAGTAGTCTGGACTAGTTCCAGAACTATCTTACAACACGAACTCAAGGAGTGCAATTTGGAAATGACATGTCCTCAACACAAGCCATCCGTTTTGGTGTCATTCAAGGTTCAATTTTGGGGCCTCTGCTTTTTGTTTTATACATTGATGACCTGCTGCAGTGTCTAGAAAACTATTCTATTAATATGTCTGCCAATGATACTGCAGTGTGTTTTACGAATCTTTGCACCTCGGAGATAGCTGGTGTAGTAAAGGATGACCTGTACAATGGATGGAAAGTAGCAGGCTTATCCTTAATCAGGGTAAAACAAAATCAATGCTCTTTGGAAGTTGGCAGAATCTTGGCAAATCATCAAATTTTTGTATACAGTTATACGGAAAAACTTTAGAAAGAGTAGATAAATTTAGCTATTTAGGTGTTTTAGATGAGAACCTTTATTGGAAAGACCACGTCGAGTATGTAAGCAGCAAAGTCAGTAGGAGGCTAGGGATTTTGTCTCGTATACGATCATGCCTCACGCTGGAAGCCTCTAAACAGGTATCCACTTCACTCGTGCAGCCATTATTTGACTACGCTGATGTTGCGTGGGGGAAAATCTCAGAGGGGTGTTGCAAAGAGTTACAACGCCTACAAAACCGCGCAGCTCGAATTATATTACGGAAGAACACCTCAGATGACACCTTCTGTGTGCTAAACTGGTTAAATCTCTCAGGTCTCTAGCCTCGTTGCTGAAGGGGCTACTCTGATTAAATAAAGTTACTTACTTAGTATAATACTTACCTACTTACTTACTTACTACAGACAAAGATCAACAAACATTGGCAAAAGGTACAAAACAAATAAACAAACAAAATTAAAAGTGGTGATTGTGAAAAGCTTTGACAGATAACAAAATCCATCAAAGTATTTGGAAACAACAGCTGTTATTTAAACGCATATGGAAGTTTTAGTAACGTTTACGTTCGCCATTTGGTAAAAATTCTTTTGCCTACCAAGTGCCAGAATTTGTTCAGCGCTTATTGTCAACGTTCTTTAAGTTTAGGTGCCGGGGCATCTTCGCCCGTAAAAAAAGAGAACAAACAACCAAAAGAAAAAGGAAAATAGATTAATAAAGCAGTAAAGAAAAAAACGGTCTTGTAAGACTTACTATCTTGGTCTGTTGTAACAAAAATAACAGAAGGCGGTCCATGTCCTTTCACTGCAAATGCAACCACTGAAATATTGTATTTAACAAACTCCTTCAGTCCTGTTAGGTTGGCCTGACGATCATTAGGACCAGCTAGTACAACTCCATCGTCAATCTCTGTCTGTGACTCGTACGTTATATTGTAAAAAGTAATGATACCGTTCTGTAACTCAGCTTGCACTGCTTCCCATGATACTGAAATGCTGGTTGAACTGGTGTTTTGTCCTGTCACATTTTGTGGTGCACCTTCAGGCTCTGATAATCAAACCAATTTCAGTGTTACTGCTTTAGCCGTAAGTTAAAGATACATTCAGTTGTACAATTAAAATATATAGATTTAGCCAGGGCTAAAAGCGAAGCCTCCGTTTCTATACTTATGATAAAAGCAATCAAATTGAAAAGTAGTAACATGAACTCTAAGTCAAGAAAATAAATCTTCACATCCCTATTAACAGAACTGCAGGAGCCTTCGGCATGAGTTTACCTTTTGAAGGAGGGGCTAAATGATTAGGAAAAAATATATCGCAAACAGACCTTAATTGAAATACTTGTGAAATTGTAGGTCTCTTTAATGGCAGCAATTTACAGGTCACGATTCTAGGGTCACTATTTCTGTCTTAAAGGGAAGACCTAAAAGGAAATTCTAGCGAACTTTTGTCTTCTCGTAAGCCCATTATATTTTCTTTTCTTTTCTTGTTTTTTTTCAACGGGTCCGGACAAACAGTTATTTTTAGCCTTTACCTTTTTACCTCAAAATATCTGAAAGAAAACTTTACTGCAAGGGGTATAATATTTTCTTTGAGGATAGACATAGGAAAGCAATCAATAACCTTTTACGCTACTAACTGTAATACAGAAACTTACAACTTTGCATTTAAAAAAAAAAAATAGAAAAACTGGACTGGCAAACTGGCGAGAGTAATAAAGCCGTAAACAAACAACCGAAAAAATGCGGTATTCAGCTGTATTCCGGGCACGAGTTAAGGAAAAAGAGCAGCATACCGCAAAACTGCTGAAATTCTTAAATTCTACACAATGCAAAACTCTTCAATGGCATATAATTGAATACGAAAGTGAATGGCAATCAATGGAACATGTACAAAAACAGCACTTTAGTTTTAATTTGTTTCGGTGAGAGCTCTAACAGTAACAAGACAGTAACTCAACTCAACGCCATGACAGAACGTGGCTCTCTCAAGCCCCTCCCCATGATGCCTAGCAATAGGGTTACCACCCTCTAACACCTTCCCCCCAGTAAAATTTACAATTTTACGTTTAACTAGAGTATCTTTGCGGCATTTTCACTAAGCGTCCCGAACGAGTACGTTTAACAGTAATAAGGTCCATCTTAGTGCATTTAGCAGGTTCTGCAGCCTTTGCAGTGTCTTTTACTGGCTTGATTTTTTTTCCACTCTTTTCAACAACAGCGACAGGTAGGTCTTCGGCTGTAGTTTTCTGTTCTCCAGATTTCGAGGAGGGTTCCGTAACTTTGACTTGCTGATCTTCGTTAAGATGTACACGGTTTCTTCTGAGCAGTTTACCATCCACATTAACATCGTATGAATGGTATCCACAGTTCTGTGAGACAGTTCCTTTCTTCCACTCTTGTCCTTTCAACAGACCTTCAAGCTTGACTCTAACCGTATCTCCAGGCTTTAATTCATTTAGGTCTTTAGCAGTGCGGTCATAATAGGCTTGAAATTTCTGGTGTTTCTTAGTTTTCTCTGCTAACACTGTTTCTGCAATATCAGGTGTCAGTAATGTCGCTTTCATAGGTACTTCAGTTGTTGTTCGACGGTTTAGGAATCTTTGTGCGGGAGGTGTTGTCATGCCAGCAGTAGGCGTGTTGTGCTGGTCAAGTAATGCTTCGTACGGACTCCGGACTCAATTTTGTTTTCTCAGCTTTCCCCAGCAAAGTTTTTCACAGCAGATTCAGCTTTTCCATTACTTTAGTGGTGATATGGTGAAGATTTGGTATGTTTAATCTTCTTTCGTTGGCAGAATTGCGAGAGCTCGACTGAGTCGTACTTCTTACCACAGTCTGTGACGATCTCATCAGGAATTCCCCATCTCGCAAATTGTTTTTGCATTAGATTAATGGTTTCACATGCAGTTTGGTGTTTCATCAAGTCAAATCAGAAGCTCATAAGGGGTTGAAACGTGTAACTCTCATATGTTTGCTTTGTCCGATGCTCGTGATTATTCATTTTCGAAAGTACCATATTTGGAACGAGAAGAAGAGATAACTGACCAATCAAACTTCGTAAACAACGTAACGTAGTTTTACTTCAGGTTCCCGCGCCCGCTTAAAAAAATGGCCGACAAACGGGGGAAAAACTCCCGAATGGCGAGAAAGCTTTCAAAGGTTGAAACCAGGAATCTTACCGAAACACTGAGCAGGATATTGCCTTACCACCCGGGCCAAACGTAACCCTATGAAACCCTTTGACGTCCTCGCAACTTCTCGAAGTTCAGTCACTTCAAAAAACGATGCCTCGTTGACCCTCTGCGCAGTAACCTTATAATGCAAATAGGCTTTTAATATTCTTAAATTAAAAGTCTATAATAAACAGTAAAAAATATTTTGGAATAAAATTTATTAGCCGCGTATCGAAAAGTGTCCAAAACCTGAACCTGACATCTTCGCAAAAAGTGATGCGTGTGATGAATGTGAGAAGCATTTGAGCTTAAATTCAGCTTGGATGTTGTAGTCAAGATCGTGTTTTGAGCTAAGTTTATGAATGAACAAACTTAAAACAATAGACAGAGAAGCCGTTTCTTGAAAATTTTTACTCAAAATCCAAAAAGTTAATCCTTTAAAGCAATTCGGAAAACACTATCTCGGATCCGTTCACGCAAGTGAAATCGGCTGAGCACATGGCAAAATTTAACACAAAATCCATCTCAAATCGGGGCACATTTTGTAATTTTTCTTTAGCGCCGAAGAGAAAAAAATATAAAACATCTATGAGACATTTGAAAATACATAAATTCCCTTTCAAAAACGTAATTGTCTTGGCTATAGAGTGCAAAATGTACCTGAAAATTCAGCAAAAACTTCAGTGCCTCGGTTGAGAGATCCGTCGTGAAGAAAACAAGGTTGAATTCCTCGAAGGAGGATTTCTTGATGCAAAGCTTCCCTTCTTCCACAAAAAGAAAGCTGAGCATTCTTTTTAACTTTCTCTTTCCATTTTTTTGTCTTTTAACGGTGTATTTTTAAGCCTGAAATGCAGAACTCTTGTCTTCAAACATCTGCATGGTGATCGCCCGGCACACAGCCATTGTGTTGAAAATGGATATCTGTCACTAAGGTTTCCAAATATGGTAAAATTGAATATTCACGAGCATTGAGCGCGAGTTACACGTTTCAACCCCTTATGAGTTTCTGGTCAAATTCAATCCAGTCACTGTAATAGTCAACTAGAACAAGATATATAGTGTTCTTTGTTCCATTTAAAAATATCAGATCCAACTTTTGACCAGGGTCTGTTAGGAATTTCATGACTGATTAGTGTTTCTTTTTGGTTCTTAGTCTGGAAAGCATTGCAGACTTCACATGTAGCGATGAACTGTTTCAATTGATTGTTCATTCCGGGCCACCATAATGAAGTTCTAGCACGCCTAAGGGTTGACCCGGTGCCTATATGTACTTGGTGTTATTTAATAATCAGAGTCTTTCGGATTGTTGCCGGAACTACGATTCGATCACTCCTGTAAATGATTCCATCGTTAAAGGAAAGTTCATCCTTAATGTTCCAATACGGTAAGATTTCAATAGGAACGTTTCGTTTGCTTGGTTTCCAGCCATAGATATGTGGTCGACGACAGACTGTCAGACAGCGTCCTTTGCAGTGGCTTCTGCAATTTTAGCGAAGTTGCTTGTTAAGCTTTGTTCTTTATGAACAAGTCTTGTCGTTTCAATCTCTTGTTCGATCCTGCTTCGGTGCTGGTTAGTAGTTCGAGATGTGCTCAGGGCATCAGCAATAAAGGGCTCTTTGCCTTTTACATACTTGAATTCGAAATCTTATCCCATGATTCTACATAGCATTCGCTGAAGTCTAACAGGATTATCTTCAACAGGTTTCTTCAATACGGCAGCAAGGGGTTTGTGGTCGTTATAGACTGTCACTTTCCCTCCATAAGTGTAGGTATGAAATCTAGTGAGCCCAAATACAAAACTAAGCATCTCTTCCTCGATTTGGCTGTAGCGTTTTTCAGTGTCTGTTAATGCTCTCGATGCATACTGTATAGGTTGGCCGCCTTGCATGAGGCAGGCTCCTAAACCACTTGATGATGCGTCCACTTGGACTTCAACTTGTGCAGCCACATTGAAGTATCTTAGCAGTGGTGCATTCAGAATGAGGGTCTTAATTTCATCAAAAGCTTTCTGTTCATTTTCTTCCCAGATAAACGCAGTGTTGTTCTTCAGCAGAGCTCGTATCGGTTCTGACTTGGTTGACAAGTCTTCTGAAAATCTTGAGAGGTAGGTAACAACACCAAGTAGTCTTCTGACTTCATCTTTGTTTGTTGGGGCAGGCATTGACTGAATACACTCTTGTTTCTTGGGGTCAGGTTTAACTCCTTTGTCTGTAAGGACCACACCCATGTAGAACAACTCAGTCTTCCTCAGCCGGAACTTCTCCTTATTAAGTTTAATATTCTTCTGATGGCATCGCTCCAACAAGGCAAGCAATCTCTTGTCATGGCTAGCTGTTGCTTCTTCAATGTTTTCTCCATCGCCCCAGATCAATATGTCATCAGCTATGGCTTTTACACCTTCTAATCCTTCTAGGTTCTCATCAATTCTTCTTTGAAATTCTTCAGGTGCTACACTGATGCCAAAAGGCATTCTTTTCCATTTCATCCGTCCAAGAGGGGTATTGAAGGTTGTCAGCAAGGAGCTTTCTGCATCTAATGGTACATGCCAAAAAGCAGTCTTGATATCAGCTAGAGAGAATACTTTAGCATTGCTAATGTCTGTAAGCAGATGGTCAACAGTTGGGATTGGGTACTCAGATCGTTTGAGTGCCGTGTTCAGTGGTCTGCTGTCTATGCAGAGTCTAATTCCATTCTTAGCAGAAGGTTTGTTTACAATTGTAGGAGCACTTACCCATTCGGTAGGCTCAGTCACTTTCTCAATTATACCTCGCTGTTGGAGGTCTTTTACTTCAGCAATAAAGTTGTTCCTCACAGAGAGAGGGATTTCTCTAGGAGCTGTTTTGTGAGGAGTGACATCATTACTTGTGTGAAGATGTAGTTCGCCCTCAAACTTTCCTATACTGTCATGAAAGACTTGAGGGTAGTTAGTCAGAATGGTCTCCAAGGTGAGTGGTACTGTCACTTCACTGGCAGTTACAGGGACACTTGGGTTGGCTGGGGCTACTACAGCAATATTCTCTCTTAAGAGCTCAATGAGTTTGAGTGTTTCAGAGTCATTTAGACCGATCAGAGGTGTTAGGTCTCTGTCAACAATTCTAAACTGAATTATCCTTTCTTCACTGGTTGCAGGATTTAGCACAAAGACTTTTCTGGTTCCCAGGGTCTGAATTTTGGTTTCTTCATCATAGAGAGACAGAACAGGCTTGACTACAGTGTTAAGGTCAGTGAGATCATAATCTCCACTGATGTCTTTGTACACATTCACAGGGAGAATGCTACATGTTGAACCAGAGTCTATCTGAAAGCTAACAGGAATTCTTTTCTTCGACAGCAGTAGGTTTGCAAAAGCTTTCTTGTGATCACAGTTTTGATTAAGCACACAGATTTTGTCAAGAACTTCATAATAGTGATCCTCACCATCTTCTTCTACTCTCAGTACAAACGGTTTTGAGGTTGATTTTGATTGTTTTGGATCTGAGTGTTTCTCCTGTTTTCCTTTTTGTAAGCGTTTACACTCCTTTGAGTCTTGAAAGTGATTTTTGGCCTTGCATTTTCTGCAGACTGCTCCCCAGGCGGGGCAGAGTTTCTTGTCTGAAAAGCTATGAGCTCCTTTCTTGTTTGCACAGTAATTACACATGAGGACTTTCTTGGGCTTATCTTTAGAAACAGCTTTTATACTCTCTTTTGCAGGAGTTCGGTTTGCACTGCACTCTTGGACTCCAATCTTTGTACTTTCATAAGCCTTGCCAATTGTAATAGCTTCAACTCTTGTGAGAGTGTTTCCTTTTTCTAGCAATCTTTTCTTTAGTTCTTCATCAGAGACACCATAAACAAACTGATCTCTCACTTGTCTATCTTCGTCTACATAATTACAGTCTTTCACTAACAGCAACAGATCAGTGACAAATGCAGTTATTGTCTCTCCAGGTTTTTGCACTCATTCTTTAAATTTCTTAGAAGCAACAATCTCGTTACATTCTGGACTTACCGCTCGCTCCAACTTAGTCCACATCAGATCATAGTCGTTTACATCCTCACCTTCAAACCAGTCCAGGCTGTCGTATATCTTTTGACATTCAGGGCCAAGCCAATCTTGAACCAGAATACATTTTCTTTCATTCGAAATATTCACAAGACTTCCTTTGAAGATGTAACCACATTTCTTTTTAAAGGCTTTCAATGCTTCTAGCCGATTCTCCCGGCGGGAATCGAACTTGGGTAGCTCTAAGTTCATGATATTACCAGTAAAGAAACCTTGATTTTGATCTTGAGCTGGGGCCGCAGCTTCGGCTCCTTCTTCCGACATGTTTAACTCGTGGTTTTTTGGCGCGAGGATCCAGGCAGTATGTTTGAGCGATCGACGAGATTCCACACTCACAGACAAACAAGATCACAGAAAGTCAGATCGATAGCAGATCGATAGCAGCAGAATAATCAGCGTTTGTTCACACTCCTGGTACCATGTTTCGGTGAGAGCTCTAACAGTAACAAGACAGTAACTCAACTCAACGCCATCACAGAACGTGGCTCTCTCAAGCCCCTCCCCATGATGCCTAGCAATAGGGTTACCACCCTCTAACATAATTCAAGAAAGGGGAGTAGCCCGATTCTGAAGTGTTTCAGCTAAAAATCTCACGGTTGTTTTTTGAGCTAATGTTATTAATGAACAATGACAGATAAATAACTTAATTTCTTAATTTAACTTAATTTCTCGAAGATTTTTATTCAAAAACCCATAAGTTAATCCTAAAAAGCACTTCACGTAACTAAAACTGAATGATGGATCTGTTCACGTAAGTTAAATCGGCTGAGCATCTGGCATAAAATCAATTTCAAATGTACATTTTGTGGTTCTTTCAAGCCGATGTCAAAATGTAGAAAACATCCATGAAACCTTTATAAATACAAAAATCCTCTTTTAAAAACGTACACTCAGTTCCTTGACCATAGAGTACAGAATGTACTTTAAGTTTCTTCAGAATCCTCGCGGCCTTGGTTGGCTCAAAACAAGCCAACCGCTACGATCCGCCGTGTAGAAACAAGGTTGAATTCTTCGAAAGACAATTTCATAGTGAAAAGCTTTCGTTTGTCCACAAAAAGGAAACTGAGCATTCCACTGAACTTTCTCTTTCCAATCGTGTCTTTTATCGGCGTATTTTCAATCTTGAAATCATGCAAAACTTTAGTCTTGAAAACCACCCCTTGATTAACGCGCGCCAACCATTTTGTTGATGGACGACATTTACTGATGTGTCAAATTCATTTCTTCCCCACTCCCTAAATGGTTGACATGACAATTGGGCGTATGTGGGGGAGCGGGATAAGGGTGATTTTGAGGTAATAATTTTTCCCCAAACCTCTGGAGTAAGAAATTTTCCCCCACATATAACATTGTAAGATTTTTTCAGCATTATACGTCATTAGTAATAGTTTTTTCAGTGCAGGATATTGTTTTTCCCAGGAATTTCTTTGCAGGCTTTTCTCCACTGGAAATCAGTCTGCAGGATATTTTTTCTGAAATCACCCATAAACCGCTCAAAAGTCAAGTAGTCGGCCCCTAAAATCAACCAAACATTTGCTCAGTTGACAGATTCTAATTTGGAATCATTTCTTAAGCCTTTTGAAATAATAGGGGACAAAACTCTCTAAGGGAGAGGGGAGGAATTCGTTTCTACTTTCCACTACCCGGAAAGTCCGTACGGACGGACGTGAGCTGACGTCATAACCAAAATTTGTCCGATGGAGGGCTTGCCAAATTTTATTACCCATGGTGCTCCTCTGGGCGCGCTTCGAGCGTGAGGGCTCCGCTATAAAACATACTGACACATTATTATTCATTCAAAATATTTCCCCGATTCTGATTGGCTAAAAGCACACGCATAAAAGACCATTACCAGCTAATGATCACCTAATTTGGAGGAATTTGCGTTTAATGAGCCGATGACGTCAAAGTGCAGCGTTCTTGCAGGTTAATGAGGCACCGTTACCCAGAAGACCTGGGGACGCGGTTGAGTCGTTTTGGTTGTGAAAACAAAAATGATAGAACATTCTAAGGAACATTTTACTCGTTTCACGACGATTTATTGTCTAAAAACATAGCAAGAAGTAGACAACTCGATGGATAAAATCTGGTATTTGGAGGATATTTGCAGATCTAAGGAGCCCTTTATCTTCTATCTTTATTTTCGCTCATTTCAAAGTGTACGAAAATGGCTTTAATTCCGCCTGACCTCACGTTGTGTTGTAACCCCACCCCAAACCAGTGATATAAATTATAGTTTTTGGCCGGTTTTTTGTGAACATCTATTTAACAATTATTCCTCGAGTCTCTGAGCCCTCGGATTGACAATTGTTAATTAGTAAAATCCACCTAGTTGATAAAAAAATATCGAGGAAAAAAAGAAACAAAACAAAACAAAACAATTTAGGCTACCAAAACATGATTCAGCCGCCATTGTTTTGGTTTTAAAAGCCGGCGGTTTTCGTTACTAGTGGGCTATAACATATAACCTTGTAGTAGCTCAGCCAATCAGAACGTAGCATTGATAATAGACCACTAGGTGGATTTTACTAATAAAAGCATGTTTATTAGTGCCATTTGGTATCTTTTTTTACAGAACGAATATTTTTTTTCTTTAAAAAAAAATTTAACTTACTATCTTGGTCTGTTCTAACAACAATAACAGAAGGCGGTCCATCTCCTTTCACTGTAAATGCAGCCACTGAAATATTGTATTTAACAAACTCCTTCAGTCCTGTTAGGGTAGCCTGACGATCATTAGGACCAGCTAGTACAACGCCATTGTCATTCTCTGTTTGTGACTCGTACGATATATTGTAACCAGTTATGATACCATTCTGTTGGTCAGTTTGTACTTCTTTCCACGATACTGAAATGCTGGTTGAACTGGTGTTATGTCCTCTCACATTTTGTGGTGCACCATCAGGCTCTGACAAAAATAAGATTACAGTTGATGCTCAATTTAAAACTACAGACTTGCTAATTTATGAGGAAAATTCATTGGCAAGNAGTAGTCGGCCCCTAAAATCAACCAAACATTTGCTCAGTTGACAGATTCTAATTTGGAATCATTTCTTAAGCCTTTTGAAATAATAGGGGACAAAACTCTCTAAGGGAGAGGGGAGGAATTCGTTTCTACTTTCCACTACCCGGAAAGTCCGTACGGACGGACGTGAGCTGACGTCATAACCAAAATTTGTCCGATGGAGGGCTTGCCAAATTTTATTACCCATGGTGCTCCTCTGGGCGCGCTTCGAGCGTGAGGGCTCCGCTATAAAACATACTGACACATTATTATTCATTCAAAATATTTCCCCGATTCTGATTGGCTAAAAGCACACGCATAAAAGACCATTACCAGCTAATGATCACCTAATTTGGAGGAATTTGCGTTTAATGAGCCGATGACGTCAAAGTGCAGCGTTCTTGCAGGTTAATGAGGCACCGTTACCCAGAAGACCTGGGGACGCGGTTGAGTCGTTTTGGTTGTGAAAACAAAAATGATAGAACATTCTAAGGAACATTTTACTCGTTTCACGACGATTTATTGTCTAAAAACATAGCAAGAAGTAGACAACTCGATGGATAAAATCTGGTATTTGGAGGATATTTGCAGATCTAAGGAGCCCTTTATCTTCTATCTTTATTTTCGCTCATTTCAAAGTGTACGAAAATGGCTTTAATTCCGCCTGACCTCACGTTGTGTTGTAACCCCACCCCAAACCAGTGATATAAATTATAGTTTTTGGCCGGTTTTTTGTGAACATCTATTTAACAATTATTCCTCGAGTCTCTGAGCCCTCGGATTGACAATTGTTAATTAGTAAAATCCACCTAGTTGATAAAAAAATATCGAGGAAAAAAAGAAACAAAACAAAACAAAACAATTTAGGCTACCAAAACATGATTCAGCCGCCATTGTTTTGGTTTTAAAAGCCGGCGGTTTTCGTTACTAGTGGGCTATAACATATAACCTTGTAGTAGCTCAGCCAATCAGAACGTAGCATTGATAATAGACCACTAGGTGGATTTTACTAATAAAAGCATGTTTATTAGTGCCATTTGGTATCTTTTTTTACAGAACGAATATTTTTTTTCTTTAAAAAAAAATTTAACTTACTATCTTGGTCTGTTCTAACAACAATAACAGAAGGCGGTCCATCTCCTTTCACTGTAAATGCAGCCACTGAAATATTGTATTTAACAAACTCCTTCAGTCCTGTTAGGGTAGCCTGACGATCATTAGGACCAGCTAGTACAACGCCATTGTCATTCTCTGTCTGTGACTCGTACGATATATTGTAACCAGTTATGATACCATTCTGTTGGTCAGTTTGTACTTCTTTCCACGATACTGAAATGCTGGTTGAACTGGTGTTATGTCCTCTCACATTTTGTGGTGCACCATCAGGCTCTGACAAAAATAAGATTACAGTTGATGCTCAATTTAAAACTACAGACTTGCTAATTTATGAGGAAAATTCATTGGCAAGTGTTACCAAATTAAAGACCAGTTTTTGATAGTTATCATTTATTCAACATATAGATTCATCTATCCAGTAAATTTAAACTATGAGATAATAGATTTTAACTTCAAGACTTTGCTCATATCCCTTTAATGTACATCTTTATCATGAGGAGATTTGTAAGCAATAAGCTTTTAAAGAAAAAGTGCGAGGACAAGCTGTGAAAAATGCTTTGAAGTTTTCAGTAGAAATTTATCCTATTTTCGTCGCCTTTAACTTGTTCCTCGGCATGATCTTAGCGCGTCCACAAGTGTTGAGTGGACCTTTCTCAAATTCTGAAATGAAGCAAAGCAGAGGAATGGGTGGAGATGTTCATAAAATCACGTCATTATTTCAGCTCTATAGTTTATTGCGATAGGAATCTACTGGAATGATAACTGTGCGCTAACATAGCTTAGAGGGAAAATACATTTGAATTATTTGACTCACTATCTTGGTCAGTTCTAACAACAATAACAGAAGGCGGTCCATCTCCTTTCACGGTAAACGCAACCACTGAAATATTATATTCAACAAACTCCTTCAGTCCTGTAAGGTTGGCCTGATAATCATCAGGACCAGCTTCTACAATTCCATTGTCATTCTCTGTCAGTGACTGGTACGTTATATTGTAACCAGTAATGATACCATTCCGTAGCCCAGCTTGCACTTCTTCCCACGAAAATAAAATGCTGGTTGAACTTGTGTTTTGTCCTGTCACATTTTGTGGTGCACCGTCGGGCTCTAATAATTAAACCAATTTTAGTGTTACTGCTTTAGCCGTAGGTTAAAGATACATTGTATAATTAAAGAATAACATAATGACATATTATTATTCATTCAAAATATTTCCCCGGTTCTGATTGGCTAAAAGCACACGCATAAAAGACCATTACCAGCTAATGATCACCTAATTTGGAGGAATTTGCGTTTAATGAGCCGATGACGTCAAAGTGCAGCGTTCTTGCAGGTTAATGAGGCACCGTTACCCAGAAGACCTGGGGACGCGGTTGAGTCGTTTTGGTTGTGAAAACAAAAATGATAGAACATTCTAAGGAACATTTTACTCGTTTCACGACGATTTATTGTCTAAAAACATAGCAAGAAGTAGACAACTCGATGGATAAAATCTGGTATTTGGAGGATATTTGCAGATCTAAGGAGCCCTTTATCTTCTATCTTTATTTTCGCTCATTTCAAAGTGTACGAAAATGGCTTTAATTCCGCCTGACCTCACGTTGTGTTGTAACCCCACCCCAAACCAGTGATATAAATTATAGTTTTTGGCCGGTTTTTTGTGAACATCTATTTAACAATTATTCCTCGAGTCTCTGAGCCCTCGGATTGACAATTGTTAATTAGTAAAATCCACCTAGTTGATAAAAAAATATCGAGGAAAAAAAGAAACAAAACAAAACAAAACAATTTAGGCTACCAAAACATGATTCAGCCGCCATTGTTTTGGTTTTAAAAGCCGGCGGTTTTCGTTACTAGTGGGCTATAACATATAACCTTGTAGTAGCTCAGCCAATCAGAACGTAGCATTGATAATAGACCACTAGGTGGATTTTACTAATAAAAGCATGTTTATTAGTGCCATTTGGTATCTTTTTTTACAGAACGAATATTTTTTTTCTTTAAAAAAAAATTTAACTTACTATCTTGGTCTGTTCTAACAACAATAACAGAAGGCGGTCCATCTCCTTTCACTGTAAATGCAGCCACTGAAATATTGTATTTAACAAACTCCTTCAGTCCTGTTAGGGTAGCCTGACGATCATTAGGACCAGCTAGTACAACGCCATTGTCATTCTCTGTCTGTGACTCGTACGATATATTGTAACCAGTTATGATACCATTCTGTTGGTCAGTTTGTACTTCTTTCCACGATACTGAAATGCTGGTTGAACTGGTGTTATGTCCTCTCACATTTTGTGGTGCACCATCAGGCTCTGACAAAAATAAGATTACAGTTGATGCTCAATTTAAAACTACAGACTTGCTAATTTATGAGGAAAATTCATTGGCAAGTGTTACCAAATTAAAGACCAGTTTTTGATAGTTATCATTTATTCAACATATAGATTCATCTATCCAGTAAATTTAAACTATGAGATAATAGATTTTAACTTCAAGACTTTGCTCATATCCCTTTAATGTACATCTTTATCATGAGGAGATTTGTAAGCAATAAGCTTTTAAAGAAAAAGTGCGAGGACAAGCTGTGAAAAATGCTTTGAAGTTTTCAGTAGAAATTTATCCTATTTTCGTCGCCTTTAACTTGTTCCTCGGCATGATCTTAGCGCGTCCACAAGTGTTGAGTGGACCTTTCTCAAATTCTGAAATGAAGCAAAGCAGAGGAATGGGTGGAGATGTTCATAAAATCACGTCATTATTTCAGCTCTATAGTTTATTGCGATAGGAATCTACTGGAATGATAACTGTGCGCTAACATAGCTTAGAGGGAAAATACATTTGAATTATTTGACTCACTATCTTGGTCAGTTCTAACAACAATAACAGAAGGCGGTCCATCTCCTTTCACGGTAAACGCAACCACTGAAATATTATATTCAACAAACTCCTTCAGTCCTGTAAGGTTGGCCTGATAATCATCAGGACCAGCTTCTACAATTCCATTGTCATTCTCTGTCAGTGACTGGTACGTTATATTGTAACCAGTAATGATACCATTCCGTAGCCCAGCTTGCACTTCTTCCCACGAAAATAAAATGCTGGTTGAACTTGTGTTTTGTCCTGTCACATTTTGTGGTGCACCGTCGGGCTCTAATAATTAAACCAATTTTAGTGTTACTGCTTTAGCCGTAGGTTAAAGATACATTGTATAATTAAAGAATAACATAATGACATATTATTATTCATTCAAAATATTTCCCCGGTTCTGATTGGCTAAAAGCACACGCATAATTACCATTACCAGCTACTTATCACCTAATTTGGAGGAATTTGCGTTTAATGAACCGATGACGTCAAAGTGCAGCGTTCTTGCAGGTTAATAAGGCACCGTTACCGAGAAGAACTGGGGACGCGGTTGAGTCGTTTTGGTTGTAAAAAAAAAATGGCCGAACATTTTGAGGAACATTTTACTCATTTAACGACGATTTATTGTCTAAAAACGTAGCAAGAATTAGAAAACTCGATGGATAAAATCTGGTATTTGGAGTAAAGTTTGTAGACCTGAGGAGCCCTTTATCTTCTATCTTTATTTTCGCGCACTTGAAAGTGCACGAAAACGTCTCTAATTCCGCCTTACCTCACGTTGTGTTGTAACCCAGCCCCTAACCAGTGCTATGTAGTTTTTGGCCTGTTTTTTGTCCACATCTATGTATGCTATTCCTGGAGTCTCTGAGCCCTCGAGTTGGCTCTGAGTCAATAGCCCATAATAATTGTTAAGGTGATTCCCTAGTTTAGCACTGCGCATCTCTTACTGCGCATAACAAGATGGCCTCCGTAGAAAAGAGCATGTGAAGTAACATTATTAAAATGAAGTTGACCGAAGAGAAACGCTATTGTAATTTTTGCTTGCGGTTGTTTCTTGCCGAGGTAAGACTCAATGTGGTGGGAATGTGCATAACGTAAGCAGTACGCGTATTGCTGAGTTCGACTTCCTCTCGGAGAGCCTCGATACTGGAGGTTTAACTTGTGCTTACTCACTTTGATTTTCATTTAAACACTTTCTTTATCACATTGTGTCCTAAATGTGATATCTCGATGTAAATCCTGTAAAAACGGATTTCTTCCCCCTTTCGCATACATTTTTTTTTAAACTCGCCCCAGTCCTCTCTCAAAAATCAAGGAAAATGCATTTGGTGCGCACTTTCTGCAGCTCTACCGCAAAAACGAGTACGGTGACCCCCATTTTTTATTTCATGATTTTAAAAAGAATAGTGCTTCCTTTCGGCGAGAAAAAAATTGGCACAAATCTATGTTCAGTTTTTTGGCAATTTTACTAAATTGAACGGATTGATCTATCACGTGTCGAATAGCGCGTGTCCAATTTAATTCTACTTTGGAGCGTAAAGTACAAACAAGGGCAATAAAAGGCATTTTTCTGGTACGTAAGTGGATAAACAATACATTAAAGTCAAATTCTGTGCGATACCAAATGCATCATTGAAAAATCTTTCCTTTTTGTCTAGTTTTGCACTGCGCGCGGTTTTTGTCAAAGGGTCCAAAATAGACGTATTTGTCAGCCTTGTGACGTCAAAAAGAGCACGGTGACCCCCACTTTTTATTACCTTTTTATCATCTTCTTGACTTGTTACATCAGTGTACCAAGTTTCATCTACAATCTATGCTAGGTTCTTTTACTGGGAAATCACCTTAAGTAGTAAAATCCAACTAGTTGATAAAAAAATACCGAGAAAAAAACAAAACAAAACAAATTAGACTACCAAAACATGATTCAGCCGCCATTGTTTTGGTTTTAAAAGCCGCCGCTTTTCGCTATCAGTGGGCTGTAACATATAGCCTGGTAGCAGCTCAACCAATCAGAACGCAGCATTGATAATATACCACTAGTTGGATTTTACTAATAAAAATATATTTATTAGTGCCATTTGGTATCTTTTTTTACAGAGGAAATATTTTTTTCTTTAAAGAATAATTTAACTTACTATCTTGGTCTGTTCTAACAACAATAACAGAAGGCGGTCCATCTCCTTTCACTGTAAATGCAACCACCGAAATATTGTATTTAACAAACTCCTTCAGTCCTGTTAGGTTGGCTTGACGATCATTAGAACCAGCTAGTACAACGCCATTGTCATTCTCTGTCTGTGACTCGTACGTTATATTGTAACCAGTAATGATACCATTCTGTAGCTCAGCTTGCACTGCTTTCCATGATACTAAAATGCTGGTTGAACTTGTGTTTTGTCCTGTCACATTTTGTGGTGCACCGTCAGGCTCTGTTAATAAAATCAATTTTAGTGTTACTGCTTTAGCCGTAGGTTAAAAGATACATTGTATAATTAAATAATAACATAATGACATATTATTATTCATTCAAAATATTTCCCCGGTTCTAATTGACTAAAAGCACCCGCATAATTGACCATTACCAGCTACTGGTCTCCTAATTTGGAGGAATTTGCGTTTAATGAACCGATGACGTCAAAGTGCAGCGTTCTTGCAGGTTAATGATGCACCGTTACCGAGAAGACCTGGGGACGCGGTTGAGTCGTTTTGGTTGTGAAAACAATCAAAGAAAGACTATCGTCAACTCGTGGGTACGTTGTTTAGAAAATAATCAAGTAGTTATCACCTCTGGTTTTCCCACAGTGAATTTTAGGAAATGATTACCAATTTTAGTGTTACTGCTTTAGCCGTAGGTTAAAGATACATTGTATAATTAAAGAATAACATAATGACATATTATTATTCATTCAAAATATTTCCCCGGTTCTGATTGGCTAAAAGCACACGCATAATCACCATTACCAGCTACTTATCACCTAATTTGGAGGAATTTGCGTTTAATGAACCGATGACGTCAAAGTGCAGCGTTCTTGCAAGTTAATAATGCACCGTTACCGAGAAGACCTGGCGACGCGGTTGAGTCGTTTTGGTTGTGAAAACAAAAATGGCCGAACATTTTGAGGAACATTTTACTCGTTTAACGACGATTTATTGTCTAAAAACATAGCAAGAATTAGAAAACTCGATGGATAAAATCTGGTATTTGGAGTATATTTGCAGACCTGAGGAGCCCTTTATCTTCTATCTTTATTTTCGCTCACTTGAAAGTGCACGAAAACGTCTCTAATTCCGCCTTACCTCACGTTGTGTTGTAACCCAGCCCATAACCAGTGATATGTAGTTTTTGGTCGGTTTTTTGTGAACATCTATTTAACAATTATTCCTCGAGTCTCTGAGCCGTCCAGTTGGCTCTGACTTAATAGCCCATGACAATTGTTAATTAGTAAAATCCAATTAGTTGGCAAAAAAATATCGAGAAAAATAAAAACACAACAATTAAGACTACCAAAACATGATTCAGCCGCCATTGTTTTGGTTTTAAAAGCCGGCGGTTTTCGCTACTAGTGTTCTATAACATATAGCCTACTAGTAGTTCAACCAATCAGAAGGTAGTATTGATAATAGACCACTAGACTGTGGACTTTACTAATAAAAATGTATTTTTTTGTGCCATTTGGTATCTTTTTGTACAGAAGGAATATTTTTTTTCTTTAAAGAATAATTTAACTTACTATCTTGGTCTGTTCTAACAACAATAACAGAAGGTGGTCCTTCTCCTTTCACTGTAAATGCAACGACCGAAATATTGTATTTAACAAACTCCTTCAGTCCTGTTAGGTTGGCCTGACGATCATTGGGACCAGCTAGTACAACGCCATTGTCATTCTCTGTCTGTGACTCGTACGATATATTGTAACCAGTTATGATACCATTCTGTAGGTCAGTTTGTACTTCTTTCCACGATACTGAAATACTGGTTGAACTGGTGTTATGTCCTCTCACATTTTGTGGTGCACCATCAGGCTCTGACAAAAATAAGATTACAGTTGATGCTCAATTTAAAACTACAGACTTGCTAATTTATGAGGAAAATTCATTGGCAAGTGTTACCAAATTAAAGACCAGTTTTTGATAGTTATCATTTATTCAACATATAGATTCATCTATCCAGTAAATTTAAACTATGAGATAATAGATTTTAACTTCAAGACTTTGCTCATATCCCTTTAATGTACATCTTTATCATGAGGAGATTTGTAAGCAATAAGCTTTTAAAGAAAAAGTGCGAGGACAAGCTGTGAAAAATGCTTTGAAGTTTTCAGTAGAAATTTATCCTATTTTCGTCGCCTTTAACTTGTTCCTCGGCATGATCTTAGCGCGTCCACAAGTGTTGAGTGGACCTTTCTCAAATTCTGAAATGAAGCAAAGCAGAGGAATGGGTGGAGATGTTCATAAAATCACGTCATTATTTCAGCTCTATAGTTTATTGCGATAGGAATCTACTGGAATGATAACTGTGCGCTAACATAGCTTAGAGGGAAAATACATTTGAATTATTTGACTCACTATCTTGGTCAGTTCTAACAACAATAACAGAAGGCGGTCCATCTCCTTTCACGGTAAACGCAACCACTGAAATATTATATTCAACAAACTCCTTCAGTCCTGTAAGGTTGGCCTGATAATCATCAGGACCAGCTTCTACAATTCCATTGTCATTCTCTGTCAGTGACTGGTACGTTATATTGTAACCAGTAATGATACCATTCCGTAGCCCAGCTTGCACTTCTTCCCACGAAAATAAAATGCTGGTTGAACTTGTGTTTTGTCCTGTCACATTTTGTGGTGCACCGTCGGGCTCTAATAATTAAACCAATTTTAGTGTTACTGCTTTAGCCGTAGGTTAAAGATACATTGTATAATTAAAGAATAACATAATGACATATTATTATTCATTCAAAATATTTCCCCGGTTCTGATTGGCTAAAAGCACACGCATAATTACCATTACCAGCTACTTATCACCTAATTTGGAGGAATTTGCGTTTAATGAACCGATGACGTCAAAGTGCAGCGTTCTTGCAGGTTAATAAGGCACCGTTACCGAGAAGAACTGGGGACGCGGTTGAGTCGTTTTGGTTGTAAAAAAAAAATGGCCGAACATTTTGAGGAACATTTTACTCATTTAACGACGATTTATTGTCTAAAAACGTAGCAAGAATTAGAAAACTCGATGGATAAAATCTGGTATTTGGAGTAAAGTTTGTAGACCTGAGGAGCCCTTTATCTTCTATCTTTATTTTCGCGCACTTGAAAGTGCACGAAAACGTCTCTAATTCCGCCTTACCTCACGTTGTGTTGTAACCCAGCCCCTAACCAGTGCTATGTAGTTTTTGGCCTGTTTTTTGTCCACATCTATGTATGCTATTCCTGGAGTCTCTGAGCCCTCGAGTTGGCTCTGAGTCAATAGCCCATAATAATTGTTAAGGTGATTCCCTAGTTTAGCACTGCGCATCTCTTACTGCGCATAACAAGATGGCCTCCGTAGAAAAGAGCATGTGAAGTAACATTATTAAAATGAAGTTGACCGAAGAGAAACGCTATTGTAATTTTTGCTTGCGGTTGTTTCTTGCCGAGGTAAGACTCAATGTGGTGGGAATGTGCATAACGTAAGCAGTACGCGTATTGCTGAGTTCGACTTCCTCTCGGAGAGCCTCGATACTGGAGGTTTAACTTGTGCTTACTCACTTTGATTTTCATTTAAACACTTTCTTTATCACATTGTGTCCTAAATGTGATATCTCGATGTAAATCCTGTAAAAACGGATTTCTTCCCCCTTTCGCATACATTTTTTTTTAAACTCGCCCCAGTCCTCTCTCAAAAATCAAGGAAAATGCATTTGGTGCGCACTTTCTGCAGCTCTACCGCAAAAACGAGTACGGTGACCCCCATTTTTTATTTCATGATTTTAAAAAGAATAGTGCTTCCTTTCGGCGAGAAAAAAATTGGCACAAATCTATGTTCAGTTTTTTGGCAATTTTACTAAATTGAACGGATTGATCTATCACGTGTCGAATAGCGCGTGTCCAATTTAATTCTACTTTGGAGCGTAAAGTACAAACAAGGGCAATAAAAGGCATTTTTCTGGTACGTAAGTGGATAAACAATACATTAAAGTCAAATTCTGTGCGATACCAAATGCATCATTGAAAAATCTTTCCTTTTTGTCTAGTTTTGCACTGCGCGCGGTTTTTGTCAAAGGGTCCAAAATAGACGTATTTGTCAGCCTTGTGACGTCAAAAAGAGCACGGTGACCCCCACTTTTTATTACCTTTTTATCATCTTCTTGACTTGTTACATCAGTGTACCAAGTTTCATCTACAATCTATGCTAGGTTCTTTTACTGGGAAATCACCTTAAGTAGTAAAATCCAACTAGTTGATAAAAAAATACCGAGAAAAAAACAAAACAAAACAAATTAGACTACCAAAACATGATTCAGCCGCCATTGTTTTGGTTTTAAAAGCCGCCGCTTTTCGCTATCAGTGGGCTGTAACATATAGCCTGGTAGCAGCTCAACCAATCAGAACGCAGCATTGATAATATACCACTAGTTGGATTTTACTAATAAAAATATATTTATTAGTGCCATTTGGTATCTTTTTTTACAGAGGAAATATTTTTTTCTTTAAAGAATAATTTAACTTACTATCTTGGTCTGTTCTAACAACAATAACAGAAGGCGGTCCATCTCCTTTCACTGTAAATGCAACCACCGAAATATTGTATTTAACAAACTCCTTCAGTCCTGTTAGGTTGGCTTGACGATCATTAGAACCAGCTAGTACAACGCCATTGTCATTCTCTGTCTGTGACTCGTACGTTATATTGTAACCAGTAATGATACCATTCTGTAGCTCAGCTTGCACTGCTTTCCATGATACTAAAATGCTGGTTGAACTTGTGTTTTGTCCTGTCACATTTTGTGGTGCACCGTCAGGCTCTGTTAATAAAATCAATTTTAGTGTTACTGCTTTAGCCGTAGGTTAAAAGATACATTGTATAATTAAATAATAACATAATGACATATTATTATTCATTCAAAATATTTCCCCGGTTCTAATTGACTAAAAGCACCCGCATAATTGACCATTACCAGCTACTGGTCTCCTAATTTGGAGGAATTTGCGTTTAATGAACCGATGACGTCAAAGTGCAGCGTTCTTGCAGGTTAATGATGCACCGTTACCGAGAAGACCTGGGGACGCGGTTGAGTCGTTTTGGTTGTGAAAACAATCAAAGAAAGACTATCGTCAACTCGTGGGTACGTTGTTTAGAAAATAATCAAGTAGTTATCACCTCTGGTTTTCCCACAGTGAATTTTAGGAAATGATAGAAATTCAGATTATAAATATACTATCCTTGTTCTGGAAACACAATACTTTTCTTGCTGTTTATTGCACTTTAGTAACAGTTATTTAAGTATATATTTTAAAAAAAACAAAAAAACAAAAAAAAACAGCAAAACAAATAGGCAAACAAGACAAAACAAAAAAGAAAAGAAAAAGGGAAGAAAGGAAAAAGAAGGTCCTCAGCAGAATTTGAACCCGGTACCTTCGGGCTGAAACCACCTCACATAGCCACTACGCCATTGAGGATGGTCACGTGATTTGGCGAAAAGTCTCAGTTTTAATGCCTTTTCCATGGAACTTCCGCCGGCAAACGACCGGGGCAAACGATCGAGCCATACTTAACCGATTGAAAAAAAGACTCGAAGCAATCGGATGAAATTAAGGCTAATTGAAACCAGGCTACTGACAGTAAAAAACAATGTAAACGCATTTCATGGCAATGAAAGAACATAAGCGATACAAAGCCGACACAAATCCTCCGCGAAGTAGGATGCAAAACATTAGCCGATGTTTTCATATCTCGATTTTCGCTGTTATTTTAAAGGTAATGCTCAAACTCACATCCATTTCCCCCCGTGATCTTGGGGAGTCCTTAAGAAGAAGAAGAAAAAGAAGTGCCTTTATTTACCATACATTTCACCAGTCCGTATTTTATAGTCCGTATTTTATACCCAGTCCGTAGTCCGTAGTCCGCAGTCCGGGTTTTTTATACTGACCGCCATAAATTCATTCATACACATAACCTACTACACTACTACAAGGTAGGAGATCAAGCCAGCGTCGAAGTTGAAGGAGTCGAAGAGAAAATGCTCATCCTCTCGTCAAGTTTAACGCCTGGACGGATCAAAAGCTTTTGAATCGTACTAATTTGAAAGATTCCTGCCTGTCTTAAATTTGGTAAGACTTCTATCCTAACCGTGCTGTAGCGCACGATGCACGCTTTCAGTGAGGAATTTGATGCTACCGAACTTCGGCGAGCGCGTGCTTCTTTGGAAACGATAGATCTTCGCGCTCTCGAGTTCGTACCCGATTAATTACGAAGTGCGTCTACTACGAGTGAGCGAGTGACTCGTTTGCATATCTCAGTCCCTGCAATAACTCGTGGTACGCTCGCGCGTACCCACGAGTTAAAAATGGCCGAACATTTTAAGGAACATTTTACTCGTTTCACGACGATTTATTGTCTGAAAACATAGTAAGAATTAGACAAGTCGATGGATACAATCTGGTATTTGGAGCATATTTGCGGACCTGAACAGCCCTTTATCTTCTATCTTTATTTTTGCTCACTTGAAAGTGTACGAAAACAGCTTTAATTCCGCCTGACTTACGTTGTGTTCTAACCCAGCCCCTAACTAGTGATGCGTAGTTTTTGGTCGTATTTTCGTTAACATCTAGTTAACAATTAATCCTCGAGTCTCTGAACCCTCGCGTTGGCTCTGAGTCAATAGTCCATGACAATTGTTGATTAGTTAAATCCAACTAGTTGGTAAAAAAATATCGGGAAAAAAAAACAAAACAAAACAAAACAAAACAATTTAGACTACCAAAACATGATTCAGCCGTTATAAATTGTTTTGGTTTTAAAAGCCGGCGGTTTTACGCTACTAGTGGGCTATAACGTATAGCCTAGTAGTAGCTCAGCCAATCAAAACGTAGCATTGATAATAGACCACTAGGTGCATTTTACTAATAAAAGTATATATTTTTTTTATTAGTGCCATTTGGTATCTTTTTTACAGAACGAATATTTTTTTTTCTTTAAAAAAAATTTAACTTACTATCTTGATCTGTTCTAACAAAAATAACAGAAGGCGGTCCATGTCCTTTCACTGTAAATACAACCACTGAAATATTGTATTTAACAAACTCCTTCAGCCCTGTTAGGTTGACCTGACGATCATTAGGACCAGCTAGTACAACGCCATTGTCATTCTCTGTCTGTGACTCGTACGATATATTGTAACCAGTTATGATACCATTCTGTAGGTCAGTTTTTACTTCCTCCCACGATACTGAAATACTAGTTGAACTGGTGTTATGTCCTCTCACATTTTGTGGTGCTCCATCAGGCTCTGACAAAAAAGATTACAGTTGATGCTCAATTTAAAACTACAGACTTGCTAATTTATGAGGAAAATTCATTGGCAAGTGTTACCAAATTAAAGACCAGTTTTTGATAGTTATCATTTATTTAACATATAGATTTACTTCTATCCAGTAAATTTAAACTATGAGATAATGGATTTTAATTTCAAGACTTTGCTGTGAAAAATGCTTTGAAGTTTTCAGTAGAAATTTAGCCTATTTTCGTCGCCTTTAACTTGTTCCTCGGCATGATCTTAGCGCGTCCACAAGTGTTCAGTGGATTTTTCTAAAATTCTGAATTTAAGCAAAGCAGAGGAATGGGTGGAGATGTTCATAAAATCACGTCATCATTTCAGCTCGAGAGTTTATTGCGATTGGAATCTACTGGAATAATAACTGTGCGCTAACATAACTTAGAGGGAAAATACATTTGAATTATTTGACTCACTATCTTGGTCAGTTCTAACAACGATAACAGAAGGCGGTCCATCTCCTTTCACTGTAAATGCAACCACTGAAATATTATATTCAACAAACTCCTTCAGTCCTGTTAGGTTGGCCTGATGATCATTAGGACCAGCTTCTACAATTCCATTGTCATTCTCTGTCAGTGACTGATACGTTATATTGTAACCAGTAATGATACCGTTCCGTAGCTCAGCTTGCACTTCTTCCCACGTTACTAAAATGCTGGTTGAACTGGTGTTTTGTCCTGTCACATTTTGTGGTGCACCGTCAGGCTCTGATAATTAAATCAATTTTAGTGTTTTTGCATGCTTTAGCGGTAGGTTAAAGATACATTGTATAAGAAAATAGTAACATAATGACATGTTATTATTTATTCAAAATATTTTCCAGATTCTGATTGGCTAAAAGCACCCACATAATTGACCATTACCAACTACTGACCGCCTAATTTGGAGGAATTTGCGTTTAATGAACCGATGACGTCAAAGTGCAGCGTTCTTGCAGGTTAATGATGCACCGTTACCTAGAAGACCTGGCGACGCGGTTGAGTCGTCTTGGTTGTGAAAACAAAAATGGCCGAACATTTTGAGGAACCTTTTACTCGTTTCACGACGATTAATTGTCTAATAACGTGACAGGAATTAGCGAACTCCATGGATAAAATCTGGCATTTGGAGTATATTTGCAGACCTGAGGAGCCCTTTATCTTCTATCTCTGTTTTCGCTCACTTGAAAGTGTACGAAAACGGCTTTAATTCCGCCTGACCTTGTAACCCAGCCCCTAACCAGTGATATATAGTTTTTGGCCGGTTTTTTTGTGAACATCTATTTAACGTTATTCCTCGAGTCATTGAGCCTTCGAGCTGGCTCTGAGTCAATAGCCCATGATAATTGTTAATTAATAAAATCCAACTAGTTGGTAAAAAAATATCGAGAAAATGTAAAAAAACAACTAAATAATTACGACTACCAAAACATGATTCAACCGCCATTGTTATGGTTTTAAAAGCCGGCGGTTTTCGCTAGTAGTGGGCTATAACATATAGCCTAGTAGTAGCTCAACCAATCACAACGCTGCCTTGATAATAGACCACTAGTTGGATTTTACTAATAAAAATTCATTTATTAGTGCCATTTGGTATTTTTTTTGTACAGAACGAATATTTTTTTTTTTTTTAAAGAATAATTTAACTTACTATCTTGGTCTGTTCTAACAACAATAACAGAAGGCGGTCCGTCTCCTTTTACTGTAAATGCAACCACTGAAACATTGTACTCAACAAACACCTTCAGCGCTGTTAAGTTAGCCTGACGATTATCAGGACCAGTTAGTACAAATCCATTGTCATTCTCTGTCAGTGACTGGTACGTTATATTGTAACCAGTAATGATACCATTCTGAAGATCAGGTTGCACTGCTTCCCACGATACTGAAATGCTGGTTGAACTGGTGTTATGTCCTCTCACATTCTGTGGTGCTCCATCAGGCTCTGATAAACAAGTTCAAAGTTAGAGAGAACCATGTTTTCCGTTTCAGAATATTTTTTTTCCTATTTCGTAAGGAATAAAAATTCTTTTTAAAGTGTGGATTAACATTTTAGACCCTAGAGATTCCAAATGAGTACATAACAACCGACTGAGTAATTTCAGAACTGACAGTACTTACGGTCTTCATCTGTAATGACAATAATAGGCTCACTCTTGTTTCCACCCCCTTTTGAAGTAGATGCAAACACTGTGATGCTGTAGTTGGTAAATTTTTGCAATCCTGTCAATGTAGCATTTGTTCTTGGAGCAATCACTATCTCCTTTCCGGAATCACCAGAAGGTAACTCTGCGTAGGTGACTGTNGGTACGTTATATTGTAACCAGTAATGATACCATTCTGAAGATCAGGTTGCACTGCTTCCCACGATACTGAAATGCTGGTTGAACTGGTGTTATGTCCTCTCACATTCTGTGGTGCTCCATCAGGCTCTGATAAACAAGTTCAAAGTTAGAGAGAACCATGTTTTCCGTTTCAGAATATTTTTTTTCCTATTTCGTAAGGAATAAAAATTCTTTTTAAAGTGTGGATTAACATTTTAGACCCTAGAGATTCCAAATGAGTACATAACAACCGACTGAGTAATTTCAGAACTGACAGTACTTACGGTCTTCATCTGTAATGACAATAATAGGCTCACTCTTGTTTCCACCCCCTTTTGAAGTAGATGCAAACACTGTGATGCTGTAGTTGGTAAATTTTTGCAATCCTGTCAATGTAGCATTTGTTCTTGGAGCAATCACTATCTCCTTTCCGGAATCACCAGAAGGTAACTCTGCGTAGGTGACTGTATAATTCACTACAATACCATTTTGATTGTCTGCTGGAACTTCATTCCACTGTACAAACATGCTTGTAGAGGTTACATTGTTTCCTTTGACGTTAGTTGGGGGAGCATTTGGTACTGCAATAACATTATAGTTTTACAAAAACCATAGCACATACACTGAAACAGGAGCCGATAACCTGGAGCGAGCAACTTCTATGTACTCGTGTCATGGCGTTTTCACGGACAAGTTTATTTTTAGAAGGTTTTTGGCGAGAATTTAGAATATCTTCAAAGTCCCACAAACCAGTCAGCAAAACCTACAGGCCTAAAAAATGATAATTTTTCCCTTTTAATGACGTTACCTTTTTCCTTTTTGATGTCTTTTACTTCCAATGCGTTCATAGACGTGGCGGAGATCCCATTTTCGCGGGAAAAAGTGCCCTAAAACGGTCTAAATATAAACGGCTCCGTAAAAACACCGTGATATAGGCTTAGTATGGGAGTTGCTCGCTCCGGGTTATGAGCTCCTGATCTAAATCAGTCTGAAAATAGCTTTCTACGTTCCGTTTTTACCTGAGTACAGTCTAAGCTCCCGTAAGTGAAGGATAAAGCTCAAATGAGTCTTTTTTTGTCTGATCAAGGGTGCTCATTATCAAGTACAGAGTTATGGGAAGTGTCTAAAATGTTAAATGTTACTGGGAAGTCTCTATTAAGAGATAACAATATATGAGCTAATAAAAATAGCAAGTAGTCCTCCGACAAAAGTATATCCCACTAAAATTTAGTCTCCCGTTGGACGTAAAACCCACCTGCGGTATACGTAGGACATTGGTAGAGGACATTATGGCTGGGCAGATCAAATACTACATGTAGACACCACCATTTTGGAGTTGAAAGTACTTAAAAGTCAAGAATATATATTATGATTGACTCTTTTCTGGTTTGTCTAAAATGGTGCTGCTTAGTCGGGTCGGACATATGTCCCAGTTTGCAGTGTACCAGACGGCACAAAATTGTCAAAGAGAGCTATCAATTACCAAGAGAGAATGATCATTCTCTCTTGCAATTACTGGAGTAACGTAACCAGTCATGATCAGTGGTATTATCCCTTTTTTTACATTACGCTCTTTACATTTCCTACTCAGACATATATGTACATTTATTACAATCCAAGACCTTTTAAAGAACTGTTTAAGTGCTGAAAAGTGGCCATAACACGCAACGTGACTAATTTTGAATTTTGCCTGGAGCTTAGAAGCAGCTGAGAAATGTTACTTATTATAAAAATCTTTTACCTTCTTCATCAGTGGTTGTGGTGATTACCGAGCTTAAAGAACTGACACCAACTTTGTTAGTAGCAAACACCCGTATGTAATATGTCCTTCCAGGATGTAGGTCTACAAGAGAAGCACTTGGGAAGGAGCTTGATACAACACAGCCACTACTTGATAGCCCTGGACATGTAGCCTCTGCAAATGTCTGATTATCGGTACTGATCTCTACAGTGTAGTTAAGAATATCACTGTTGCCATTGAAGCCAGGTGTCCAGGAGATATTCACAACTCGTGACGTCTTAGTGATAACTGTCACATTCTCTGGTGGGCGTGGGACCGCTACATAAAGCAAAATAAAACCAAATGAATAAAAGAAGAAAAAAGATTGAGTTTTAGAAAATGACATTAAAAGCTTAGAAGCTGGCTTTACAGGAGTAATACCATTAGCGGTACACCATCTATTCACATTGTGGCAAGGGAGGTTAAGAATCCCAAATTTTCGGGAGCAAACCACTTGGCTATTTACCAGTGTGACTGTATTAGGATTTGAACTCGGGGCAAACAAGGACAATTACTGCAAGCGGTTAGGGAGTGGATTAAACTCGGGGCCTCTAGATTACAATTCCAGAACTCTAACCGCTCGGCTACACTGTCTCCTATAGACTCTCGGAATTCACAGCTGTATCGGCTGGAACATTTTGAATTAGTGGCAAGGCAGATATTAATACAAGTTTCTGCAACAGTTAGTACATGCTTGAACAGACACCGTATCAGTAGGAATATAGGTAAATATCATTGAATGAATTTTTGTATGCAGAACAGCTCGTCGGGGCTCTTTATTTGTCCGAGTCATAGTAGAATGAAGTCTGACAAAAACTGTTTAGACCTCTGTTTAATCATGGTGGTGCCCAAATAGAGTCTTTGGGATCGCTAGATTGGCTTCAAGTTGCAATAGGCCCGTGGGAAAGATTGGACATGCAAAGGCGGGGCTCCTTCATGATCAATTTTCTCTGTCTTCTTGAAAAGCAACCAAAAGAACAATGCAAAAAGTCACACCAAACAACTTGTAAAACGAGCAACAGACTGCCACAAAAGACCTTAGGATCGACATACGCACAACAAAGGCGCGACCCAACGCTCAATAAAAGTACGCTCTTTTTATAGAGTATTTCATAATTAAATATTATAAATTGTGCTCTCCTATGTATTTCCTACCTTCTAACTTACAGCTGTAGCATAGACGAGCCAATATTTGTTTAAATTTGCTAAGAAAACCATTATTATTATTATTATTATTATTATTATTATTGTTATTATTAGCATTTCACATCATCCTCTGGAAGTTAACGAAAACCACAAGAATTGAGGCTTTCAGGACTTTGACATGGAAACTTATTATTTTGTTTCAACTCGGTGAAACCAAGAGAGAAAGAGCTTGGTGAAACTCATATTTCGGCTGCACTCCGCCTTCATCACCCTGCTGAGTTGCTGAATGAAGCCGAAATATGGGCTAGAGGAGATAAAAAAAAGATGCTTTGACTTTTCGAGGAGACTGCTGTCGAGCAAAAAGCGAGTTCTTTTCCTCGAGAAGGCTAGCTTAGACTAACCGAAGTATGCGGAATATATATGAAGAGGGGAGCAAATCCTAGTGTAAATAATGTAGACCGCACTTTCGAACATTCGATAAAACCCCAGATCTATTTTAAGATGAATATAGTCGTTTACCTGGTTTGTTTTTATCGATTCAAACCTAGCACCTTTTTTGATATTAACTAAGCCCTCAGTCCTAATAAATAAAGTTGATTCCTTACGTTGCGCACTTAGCAATACTACCGCAAACAATATTAAAGTAAACTCGACTTGTTACCTCCTTGTGTCGTCGTGACGTATGTGCAGGTAATCAAGTACAGCCAAAGAACTTGAACTTTCATTGTAACTCGAGGCCACAATTTAGGGCAGGTTAAATACAGTGTATCAAGCAGTTAAAAGCTAAGTTGCAATTTTTAGGCCAACTGTGGCAAATTAGAAAGTTCAGAATTGGTTAACGCAAACGGTGTGGCTCTCAAGAAAGCATTAAGTCATGATCCTGTAATGCGCTATATAAAAAGCAGCTCGAAGCATGCATGCTGAAGCGACACCTTTTATGGGAATTAGCTTTGTGGCTGCCTCAAAACTGAAAGTATAAAACAATTTTGCCGTTAGCAGCTACAGCCTGTGACCGATCACATCGTTGATTGTTTACATCTCTGGCCGTATGCATTTCAATATATGTAATCCGCGATGAAGGGCATATTAAAAGGCATACTAAATAATCTTTAACTAACAAAAAAATGTAAAACTTCCCATACTGATAGTGGAAGGGGTATATAGTCAGCAATGACACCCAATGACTGTTCGGAGAAGCAAATTTTGCACATTAATATAATTTTCTGCACTTGAGGACGGTTAAAAATTTGTAGGTGACCGTTCTATTCGTGTACAATTTTCGAAGCTTATCTGATGAATTCCCCTACGATTTTCTGAACTCATTAGGGCCTGGTTCCTGAAATGCCGATTACCGTTAATCCAAGATTAAAATTTTGCTTCCTTTTTTTGCATTTTACATTCCTATTCATTGCTTAGGGTAACATTTTTTGTTTTCTCGTAGTAAAGGTTCAACAGTATTTTGTAATCTCGAGTTGCATGTTCTTAGGGACGAGAAAACCTTGCTTGAAATTTGGCTAAATCCTGGATTTAACTTAATCATCTTTCGAGGAACCGGGCCCTGGAGTTTAATTTTCACATTTCACTTCCCAAGTCAGGCTAATTTTCCCGAAGAAAAAAGAAACGAAAGGAAACCTATAATTTTCGGATTTAACAGTACAATGGTGAGTGAAAATGTCTCACTTTAATTCGTAATACGTCAAATTGATCAAACGTTTTTGGAAATACAATCGGGAGGAGAAGTGCTTACGTCACGTTGCCATTGTGGCATAAATTTTGTATGACAACAAACCGGAAACGTCACTTAAAAAGTAAAATTCGTACTGCTTCAAACTTCATCGATCTTATTCAATTTTATTTAATTTGTCAAATGTTGGCGAAATTTTCTGGGGTTGAATCCGAAAGGACCATATCTAAGTTTACAAAAAGAAGAAAAAGACAATTTCTGTCTTGTGTTTGCGGCTGACTCCATAAAGCGAGTGCGGAAAATTAGCATTTTTTTTTTTTTTTTTTCATGTCGTAGTGGTGCAACGATGGGAAATAAATGTGAAAAAGAGCGTGAGGCACGTGCAAAGGTGTTGTTTTGTTATTAAAAACATATTATTTTTTGCCGTTCTCCTTGTCGTCCCCGTCGTCGTTGGTTTCGTTTTCATCCAGAAATAATGCTACCATGGTAACGCGACGTCACTCTTTTCCTCTCTTTTCTCGTGCCCTTGTTTTTTCGAAAAGACTCAAGTTCCCCTAGGATGACCGAACAGATACAAATAAAGTCAGACATTTCAAGAACTCGTTTTGAGTGCTATTTGAACAGGAACTCTACTGTCAGTGAAGTTGAATAATCGTAAGGGTATTCTTACATTGCACATTTAGCGTTGCCATGCTGGACTGAACTGTCCCAACATCGTTGGCAGACACACAAATGTATTGGCCACTGTCTCCTCTGTTCACATTTGTTATGACCAAGAGCGTGTTATCTAATGATAAACTGATTCTTGACGTCAAGTTAACAACAGATCCGTCTTTTGTCCATAACAATGTGGGTGAAGGATTTCCAGACGTATCACAGGTGAAGGTGGCGTTTTCTCCTTCTGTCAGTGTCTGATTGTTTGGATGCTGGATGAATTCAGGACTATCTGTGGATACAGAAATACGCATTAGTGCAGATTGTCTTAATATAACTTGAAAATATATATATATATATTTTCTTGTTCTTCCAACATCAAAAGAACGAATTAACTTATATATGCTCTGGTGAACAAAAAAAAAACGAACAGTAAACTAGCCTATATAAAATAATCTAAATCGAATCTTGGAGAACGAGTCTCGCTTAGGTGTATAAATTGCTTGAAAGGTCCTTATGTTAATGTGAAAGTTGTTTGATGGCATATTAAAATTGGTAGACATAAATTAAATTTTTACAAACGAGGCAGCTGAGTAATTTTAATGTTCGAGAAAAAGAAAAAAAAAGAAAAACTAAGATCAATAAAACGCTTACATGCACATCCCGTCATTCTCACTTTTCTTTATAAAATGACAATTGTTCTGGCAAAAAACGACGAAAATTTCAATAATTCGTTAATAAGTTTCCTTACATTGTACATCAAGTGTTGCAGAATGGGACTGAACTGTCTTTACATCGTTAGTAGCCCTACAGGTGTAGTGTCCACTGTCTCCTCTGGAGACGTTGATTATCGTTAACTGCTTGTTATCTGATGAAAAAATAATTGTTGAAGTCGCATTCGCAAGAGATCCGTCTTTTATCCATGAGAATGTTGGTGCAGGATTTGCTGTCGCTTCACAAGTAAAAGTTACGTTTCCTCCCTCTATCTGTGTGGTATTTTGAGGATGCGCAGTGATTTCAGCTGGATCTACAGTTAAAACAAAAAAAAAGTGTTTTAAACTTTTTGTTGAAAAGAGAAGGAGTTATCCGAGCGTAGACGTAAATCTAGACTTAAGACAAATGCAGATCGGGCTGTCGTCTATTTACTGACTCGGAAATCTTGACTCGCTGCGTAATTAAACATCCCTACTATTATTATTTTGACGTTATTTGGTTCACGGATTGTAACGTTTATTACTCACGTACATGTCCGTTTTCATCGTTTCTGTTAAATATTGTGAGTTTATTTCATTGTGATGTACATCCCTTTATTCCAAATTATTGTAACAGAGAAAACCAATGACGCAAATTTTAAAGGGTGGGTTACAGTGTTTGTAATCTAAGCATGTAAAAGGACAGGTATTGCTGTTCATAGTTCCCCATTTCCTATTTAAAGAAAGTGATGAATACTGAGTTTCCAATGTATCGAGTGCCTAGTCTGCCTTTAATTTATTAACAATTACAACAACAAGAAAAAATAAAATATTCTTACAATATACATTAAGTGAAGCAGAACTGGACCCCCCATATCCAACAATGTTTTCAGTTATACAGACGTATTCTCCGCTGTCTCTTCTGCTCACGTTCGTTATCAATAACTGCTTATTATCGGATGAATAGATGATCCTTAGAGTAGTGTTAACAACAGCTCCGTCTTTGATCCATAAGATAATAGGTTCAGGATTTCCTGTCACATTACAAGCGAAAGTCACGTTTCCTCCCTCTATCTCTGTCTGATTTATAGGATGCGTAGTGAGCTCAGGTGGGACTGAAATAATAATAATAATTGTAAATTTAAAGTAAATTATAATTATCATAAACATTCTCCCAGAATCCTTTGAGGCATTTTTTTAAAAAGCTTTATAACTTTGACAATTTTATACGTAGAAGACTGGCAGACCCCAACAAGATAACATTTGCCATAAAATATCTTTCCATGTCAAATCCCAGGTAATGATGTCATCAGTCACGTGACTATCGCCGAGTTAGGTTTTTTTGTTGCTGTGACAACTGGACTCTTGGCTTTCATAACCGAGTCTGCAGGGACATGCGTGATTCAATTACGAGAGAAACTATATATTGTGCCCTAATTCGACCCAAGCTTGAGTACAGCAACAGCCTGTGATCCCCTAACATTATGAAGCGCCGTGCTCTCATCATGTCAAGTGTAGAGCAAAGAAATGTGTACTGGACTAATCTAGGAGCATATCTTATAAAGAAAGGCAAAATAAACTTGATTTACTGTTTGGAATAGCGCAGGCAAATGTCAGATTTATTACCTTTTTCCTGTCTAGAGACGGCCTTATAAAAAAGGTCCTGCGCGCGTTAAAGCTATATAATATAATACTAGTTATAGCGGAGCTCTGGCGCGCGAAGCGCGCCTGCGGAGCACCATGGGTAAGTAAATCTACCCATCCGATAAAATTTGGTAATCACGTGACCGTACACCGCCCGCAGCCCGCCCGTCCGTCCGCACCACAGGAAAACCAATGTTTAATCTCACACTTTCTAGCTAGAATGGTAGCACAGGAAGACTGATATTGCACACATATTGTACATCAATGTTGTGATCAATTGACAGCTGTCAAAACAGGGTATCTGCTGACCAGTATCACCTGACCGTATCGCGGGCTCAGGTGTCGACCCATTGAGGTCGAGTATCTTTTTGAAGTTATCCGCTGACAAGTTACTAGTTTTCAAATGATCGCAGGCTCAAGTTTAATTTTTTTAATTCATATGAAATATTTTGTGTTTTATATGTGCCGCACAATTAAAATTTTGATTTCAAACTGACCTCGGAAGCTAAAATTCAGCCAGTTTTTACAGGCAGGGAAGACATGCCAGTTGCTTTTGACTTTTCTCACCAAGGTCACGCGTTGGTCACGCTCTACGTCCAATTTTTATGCTCTGATTGGTCAAAATTTGACAGGTGAGTTCACGCGGAAAATTTATGCAGCATCTTGAAACTTGTTTACTTTGACAGCTGAAGCTGACAGAGTTTTGTGCCAACTTGTGATGTTTTTAACTGTCTTTCTCCGCTGAATGCACAAAATGAAATTCAGCTGCTATCAGGAGTCTTCTGTTATTCATAGCTGGCTTGTTTATTGGGTTTTTGGTTGAGAAGTACGTCACTTGTCAAAGTCGGAAATCCGATTTCGGATGGCATCGTTTTCGTTTTTCACCTTGCTTGATGCGTAAGAGGGTTGAAAAGTCTGAAGCGATTCTGGCCTTACTTGATAGTTTTCAGAGCATCTCGAATGGTAAGCCTGAGTAATTATTGTATTTGATGTTTGTTTTTTATATCTAATTTAATGAAGTCGGGCGTAGTTTATGCGGCTATTTAGTTTATGCACGTTTGTAAGATTTGAGACAATGATCGATCTGACCGAGTATCAGGTTTGATTATAAGCTTATAGAACTTTAAAAAGCCTTTAGACATTTTCTCACTGCAAATAGAAAGAAAACGTTCCAAAGAATATTTAGTTATAATTCTGGCTTTAAAAGAAAGCTTTCAGCGATTTTCTTGCCTCGAGTTCATCTTTGAAAAAAGCAAACGCCGGGAAGCCGGCTTAAAACATAAACAAGGATTTTCAGAGACACTTTTTACTTGTCTTCGTGAATGAAAATTGTTGTCTCTGTATATGTTTCACCGAATTATTATCCTTTTATTGATTGTTAGTAGTCTCTTTTGCAATTTTAATCGCTGTGCCGTTTGTTTTCAGTCGCTCACGAACATCGCTTGCGGGAGTAGTCAAAATGCCGCGTGTATCAAACGCTTTTGAAGATTACACATAGTTATAAAACCGTTAAACAAAGAAATAAACATAATAAATTTTTTGTCATTTTAAAGCGTATAACTCTATTAATCTTGATTTAAACAGTCGACTTTGGCGCTTGTCAAAAGTGAGAACCGGCAAGCCGTATAGGTGATTTTAGAAATTTTTTTAACGGTTTTCCGTAAAAGCCCACGCGTGCTTCGATCGACCTGAATGTTGAATGAGTAAAATTTGTATTGCAAAATTGTGATCTGTCGGAGGTCTGTATGATAAAAACAGTGCCTCATGGTACTGTTTCACCTCAGATGATGTATAAAAAGTATAAAAGGTTGGTTTGCACGTCTCCAGACTTGTTAGCAAGATTTTGTAAAATAAATTGTAAACTTGTCGAACGCAAAAAATTGGGCCTGATTTGTTTTCCGAGAATTTGTTTTCTAGGCCTAATCTCGTAAGTGATCGAGAACCATTATGGCTCCTAAACGTGATCGAAGATGATTGCTATTTTTTGGGTGTACATATAAGGCTATCAGCTCGATGTAAGATTAAGTTCACTGTTAGCTTGGACTGTTTGCAAATTATTTTTCTCTAAAATCACTTAGCCTTTCCCTCAAAAGTCACATGAATGTGCTCTAAAGTTAACTGATTTGTAAAATACAATTGCAAGTTTATTGTTTGATTTAAATCATAAATTCGAGTTAATAGGAGCTTCGCTTTTAGCCCTGGCTAAATCTATATATTAGCTATGGCTAAGTGCCCACGAGCAAAGATTTTTACTCGCGTGCTGTTCAGGTTGTTTAGAAATGTCATGAGTTACCTTAATATATGAAACATAGATTGAACTTACTTCGATCGCATAAGCGAAAATTAACTTGAAAACAGTGAACTAAACCGATCTATTGCATAAAGAATTTGAAATCCCGGCTTTACATGTTTTTTTTTTTTTGAGATATTGAAGTTAGTGTTTTTGTTCGACGTTACGCGCAGGTCATTTTGCGTAAAATTTAATGGTCTTACTAGCAAAGTTAGAGTCCTCAAAAAATGACATTTAAGTCCGTGAATATCTAACGTACAGATTTATATTTGGTCTCTTTTTAAAGCCCAGAAGAAATTTATCGTGCGCAGATGAAGCCTTCCGAATCATTTTGCTTCAAGGACACAATAAATTTTGCGGCGTTCTCATTTTTGGTAGCGGCAGGCAATAAGAAATCCCAAGGAGGTAAAAAGTGTGTACCTTAGTGCCATCCGTTTTTCGATAGCATGGGAAAATGGAATTCAAATTCCATTTCCATTTTTTGTTGGTCTATTTCGCATGACATTGAAAAATAGATTTGAATTCCGTTTTTCGTTTTCGCCTCACTTTGAAAAACGGATTTCAATTTCGTTTTTCGTTTTTTCGTTTTGGCATCACTTTTGATGATTTCCCTGTGCTCAATAACTGGAGTGGGACACTGATGTAATGTCAGTTTGACCATAAAACTTAAAAGGACAGATTTTACTATCGTTTTGATATCAAAGGCGAAGCTATCGCGTGGCTCAGGCTCGGCTTATCTGTTAGTTTCTAACCGATTTTAAAAGTCTTAACTCGAGCCTGGTACTGATTCTGACATATACAGAACCGGCAAATCAGGGGAAAGGATCCGTTTGAGGGTAATCTCGTAATGGTATCGCAAAGTTAAAGGGTACAGCACAATTAGTGTATAACTATTAGAGGAATGAATCAATCACTCTCCTGGAAGTCCGATGGAAAACCATTCAAATTGTGGCAATGAGGCACCTTGTAAAAGAAATCTACGTTTAATCACATAAATGGAATAGCTGATCTTTTACAAATTCGGATGAAACCAAGTTACCTTATTGCGTGCAGACAGGGTATGGTGCTTAGAAATAATGCCTAATTAGCGACACTGAGGTTTTTTTAGCTGAAAAGTGCCAACTTGAGCACACTGTTAGAAAGTTTTTTTATCTGTACTTACAAAATACGGTAATCGAGGCGTTAAGCGTGACGAATCCCAGACTATTGTTTGCTATACAGCTGTACACTGCACCATTATCTTCTCTCCTAAGGTTTGTTAGACAAAGAGTTTCCGATGTAGACAGCACACTATTCTCTCCTTCTTTTGTCCATGTAATGTCTGGTTGTGGATTGCCAGTTGCATTGCATAACAGAGTCAAATTACTTCCCTCGACCACTACATGATCTGATGGAGCAGTGACAATAACAGGAGAAACTACAGAAAAGGTAAACAAATTAAACAGTTCAGTTAAATAGCACGGACGTCAAAAGAAGAAGTATACACAGAACAATAGTGTGTAATGGGACAAGAGAGGATAAACTTTATCCTCTCTTGATTGGGATGAGAGAACTTAATATGAAACTTTATGCTGTTGTGAGTCTAGAAAAATATCGAGCCAACGGAAATTGACATAAAAAGACCTCTAAAAAGGCAGTCTCCATCGAAACGAAGGAACTACTTGTTTGCTTGTTAAATCCTTGCTGTTCTTCTATATATTTTTTTATGATATCAAGAGTGCCATTATTACCTGATGAAATTGCTGAAACGGTCAATAAAGCGAACTACATTACTTTGATTAACAATTATCACGATAAAACAGTGAAATACTGTCAATTCTGAATCTGTTTCTATTAGCTTTTTCCCAGTTCCGCTGATTTTCACTTTCAGTGGCCGCTAGAATTCCTCATTTTCTCACCGGGCCCCCACTATAAAATTATTTACGTTTCTCTTAAAAATAAATTTATCTTTGTTATTTTTTTCGCTCTAGCTCTTTGTATGTTATCCGCGTCAGAGTATATATTGAAATTTAGTCGAAAAACTAAAAACTCGTCTTCGACAGCTGTTTGTCATATGGATAGCGTAATGTAACTGACAGGCTATTGTCATTTTCCGTGTCTTAGTATAGCGCTGGGAGTAAAATGACGTTGACAATGACATTGGCTTACATGTACATGTATGGGGTGTACGGATGTACAGACGGTCACG